TTTTTTTTTTTTTTTTTTTTTTTTTTTTTTTTTTTTTTTTTTTAATTGTTAAAGAGTAATATTAACATTTGAATTTTTAGATATTATGTTTGAAGAATATTTATTTTTATATGTATATGGATTTATTAAGAATTTTTTAATAAAAATTATATTGAAAAAGAGAATTTTAAAATAACTATTTTTTAATAAATAATAAACAGAAAAAAAAAAAATTACCCATCAACAAACTTTCTGTGGGAATTGATCCTCGTAAAAATAAATAGCAAATTTTGCAGGGATAAAAGAATTAAATATGTGGCAGGGATGGGGACTAGAAATTAGAAATGGTTCTCGACTTTACTCTGCCTTGTAGACATCTCTACTTGATATTTGCTCGTGAACGTCGGTGCATCAGCATCTAGGCATCAACTATCAAAAGTAAACAATCTGGCCTCCACATCTAGTGCTGTTTCCTTATCCTGCCAAGTTCTATGTTTATTTATAATTATTATCCATTAATTTTTCAATGCACAATATAGAAAGAAAATTGTCCACTTGTTATTGCTTCCTTGTATTTTCTGCCATAGAGATGTCCCTTTAGGAGGTGAGAATGGGGACAAGGATGTGGGGATGTAGACGGGAAGATTTTTCTATCCGAGTCTTGCCTCGTAAATATCTTTACTCGTCGAGAAAATGAACCTCTCCAATCAATTATAAAGACATTTAGAATTTGAATCCTAGAACACATTCTAAATTGTTGAATTGCAAATGGGTAGAAATCCACCTCCTTTTGGCAACCTTTCACTTTACTCGATATAGGGGCATTTGGGTTCGAAACTCGGAAACAAATTCGTAATTTTACTATCAAGTTTTTGCTTTGGTATATTGCCGAAGAAGAGGAGTTGATTGACCATTACTTTCAAAGGCTATATGGGAGTGACAATTTCCTGTAAAAGATTAAATTATTTCTTAGCAAACTAATTCTTTGGGCCATCAACACAAAACTAACGTGGATTACCTTTCATTAGGAGTGAAAACGAGTCGTTTTGAGTTCTCGGTTTGATCCGATTCCTTACAGCTAATCTTTCATGTCCTTACCTCCCTTACCTCCCTACTGTGTCCTTCTAGTTGTTTCAAAATCTAATATTATACGCGAAGTACATTAATCAAGAATTTTATTTATTGATTCAAGTTGTGTAATTAGCCTAAGTAAATTAATTGATGAAAATTTGTGATAATTTCCCATTTCAAAAGTCAAAATAAATTTTTAAGTGGAAGAAATATTGTTGGAGATAGATTTAACCAATACCTATGTATTTGAAATTTTAAGCCAAAATTAATACTTGTTAAATCCTTGTGGTTAAGAGGTTTAGCCCTTAAATGTTTATTTATCTTTTTTTTTTCCCTAAATTTTAAAATAATTTTATTTTATTAACTTTCATATAAGAAACTATTTTAAGATAAAAATTTATATAATCACTAAAAGATTAGGGCTCAAATCTTTTCCGGTATATATCGGAGTTGTGTTAAAGAATTTTTTGGATGAATCCAAGATTTCAGATTTACTGGGTTGGTAACTTAAAATTGTTTCACAAACCAACCCAACTTGAAAAGGGTTGGGTTGGGTTAGGTTGTCAAGTCGTTCAATTTGTTTTTTCAATTTTTTAAGAGGGCAAGGAGTGTGGCTAGTGACGTGGGCGTAGTGTGGGCGAAGGCGTGGACGTGGGCGTTTGGGAGGGGGATGGGATGGCTAGAGAAAGGAGCATTTGGTGCCGAGGGTGTGGGCGGGACCCCAGGTTTTGTATTTTGCCCAATAACATGTATATGTATGTACGTACGTATGTAAGTATTAGATTGGTCTAGTTCGGGTTGACCCATACCCTTATTCAGTAAACTCGAAACACGAATTGAACTGGTTTTGTAAAGCCCCTAATTTTCTTACCTAGTTTAGAGACATCACTACAAGAAGATAAAAAAAACATTTCAAACGACCCATAGACTTATATGTTTAATTAAAAACAAGAAATTAAAAAAAAAAAAAAAAAACTTTAACATAATTTTTTAGTGTGAAAATGAAAAGCCACCTAATTGAAAACAATGCATACTACTGTCTTATCTTAATTTCCATGGTCATTCAACGTCATCCACGAAAGAATGTTTTACCTTTACCTGAAAAATAAGGGTAACACGTAATTTGAATATTTTAAGAAATACTCAGTAACTAACCTCATTGTTGGGGTTGGGTCGCAAACACACACATACATGATGAGACCTATCATTTAAAACAATATCGCATGACCTTGAGCTCTTTCCATTCCGAGCAAGGTTGGGTGTGTGGTACTTCCCCACACACGTGCACATAAACCACTAGGCGAACTCGTATATGTACCCACTGGACCTGGCTTCGTCGGGCTAAACGCGCGGATGTGTCACCCGACATCATAGAGGGGAAAGACCCACATGATGTCATAGCGAACATAAATATCGAGGGTATGCGTCTGTACAAACATAACATAACAGAGAAATATCTCGATACAAATGACATACATAAATACATGAGGTCCTAATGGTTTAAAATCGTAGTATAAAATAAGAATCATTACGTCCTTCCTTTCATCCACGCCATAGTACACATATGAGTCATGTATGCATAGTAATCATCATGACTTTCATCTTGCATCATCATATACTCTATAACATGGATTCACATGACAAAACATAACATTACATACATAGGTTTTCATTTCATTCATATCATGACATAATAGAATATCACATACATATATAATGTGACATCATAAATCATCGCATAACATACATAAGTATAACATTACATTATGACAGCATGCAAGGGCCATTGTGAATTCATCATATATCATACAATTCTTCCAACACCAAACAGTAAGGTCACTTGTTTGGCCTTGGCTAGAGTCCCTAACTATTTTATAGTTCTTTGAGATTGTCCTTCATCGTTCAATTTAACCTACACATACCCATATCACACCGTAGACATATTATTAAACTTAGTTTAGCTAAAAGGTGAGTTTAGGGTTTAAATTCACTGCTCGTGTTGCATCTCACATTGCTACTCTGAAGACGTCTTTTCAAAGCTGATTGCTATCTGTTCCCAAAGAATGGGAGTTTTTAGGTACTTATGCCGATCTCAAAGTATTATGACTAGTTTTTCCTATTTTCTCTATTTATGCTTATTATGACTTTTGAGCTTGTACGTAAGACACTCTATAAGTCAACTACGACTCGTCTACTAGACATCCTAGCAGTCTGAAATAGCTCACAGCTCGACAATCAGAAATACTCATATCCCTAACTTAGCACTTAAAGAATCAATCAAGAGGTACCGTGGAGTATATTAGACTAATGGACAAGACATGCCCTCCCAACCTATCATCGATCCAACTATAAGTATACGTGAGACCTAATCGCTACTAGAGTTTATTTTTCGAACTTCTAATGGCTTGTACATCATATGGTCATTTGAAGAGATATTTCTCGTACATGAACCATGCATACATTATAGAAAGGAATCTCTAACTCCTATTGCCTTCTTAATGCATTTTTTAGTTTTTAATTTTTCAATGTCAACTAATTAATTTACTAAACATATAGAGTTGGGATGATAAACATTTAATTAACGTAGACTAGGTCATTAAAATTATGAAAAATTAATAAAAATTTATAATAAGGTTCTAAAATTATGTAGAAATACAACCATATAGTTTTTATATTTAATTATATGTGAAATAGTTGAAATAAATTCACTATTCTATGCATAAAAACTATATAATAAAATAAAAGGTAATATTTAATGATTTTTTTTTTTTTAATTTTTAAAGAAAATTGAATGGTTTACAAATTTGCTTCTTAAGACAAAATTCTTATTTTTCAACCTTCCACAAGTCAACTCATAAATGTAGTAATTTAATAAGTATAGTAAATATGGAAGGTAATTTAATTTCAAACAGTTATTTTTACAAAAATAACCTTAAAAGATTATAAAATTATGGGAATTTTTTTTTATTTTTAATAAAATTTGAAAATTAAAATATTTAAATAAAACATAATTCAAAATTTAAGGATCAAAATATGTATTTAAAAGAATAAAAAGATCCTCATATACATTTATTAAAAAAATTTAATCCAAAAATTGATTTTATAATGTTATATATATCTATATATAGTTTTTTAAAGGAAAAAAAAAGGAATAAAATGTTTCCCTTTCGGGCTTCCCTTTCGTGTCTACTCCTTTGGGAAACAATGAGAAGGCTGACACATCGTCCAGTGTCTGGCTCTGATACCATTTGTAACGCCACAGATCCACCACTAACAGATATTATCCTCTTTGGACTTTTTCTTTCTAGCTTTCTCTCAAGGCTTTAAAACGCTTCTGTTAGGTGAAGGTTTCCACTCCCTTATAAATTGTGATTTGTTCTTCTCCCCAACCAACCTGGGATATCATATAAAATATGGTTGACAATTTATTTCCTTTCTCTCCTATTTACATTTAAAAAAATTAAAATATTTTATAATTTTTCATTTCTCATTCTCGTTTTTTTAGTATAATAGATGTGTTACATAAAAAAAAAAAAATAAAAAAATAATAACAGTCTTAGGAATTAAAATAAAAAAAGAAATAAAAGATTTTTTTTTTAATATATTTCAAGAAAATTATAAAAGAATTTTTTAATGAAGAAAATAAAGGGGGAAATTAAAAAATATATATATTAATATGGAATTTTGAAAATGAAAAACAAGGATGAATAGTGCCTAAGGTTTTGTGTATAAATACCTCCGTACATCTGTTTTCCATATGAATGCAAGGTGAAGCAGAGTGATAGATGTGTTGTATCATGGCTTCCTCTAAGACGTTTCTAGTCGCTGTTTTGTTTGTCACTTTATCTTCCTCACATATTTATGTCACTCAAGCAGGTCGTCATCTCCAGCAATCTTCACTAATTTCATTTCCAAATATCACCATCATCATACCCGGTTTTCCACCCATCACCATACCCGGTTTTCCACCCCGTACTCCGCCCGTCAACGTCCCTACAGTTCCTGGTATTCCACCCATCTCCGTCCCTACACTCCCAGGTACTCCGCCCGTCAACGTCCCTACCGTTCCTGGTATTCCCCCCATCTCCGTCCCTACACTCCCAGGTACTCCGCCCATCAACGTTCCTACAGTTCCTGGTATTCCACTCATCTCCATCCCTTCACTCCCAGGTATTCCGCCCATCAACGTCCCTACAGTTCCTGGTCTTCCACCCATCTCCATCCCTTCACTCCCAGGTATTCCGCCCATCAACGTCCCTACCGTTCCTGGTATTCCACCCATCTCCATCCCTTCACTCCCAGGTATTCCGCCCATCAACGTCCCTACAATTCCTGGTATTCCACCCATCTCCATCCCTTCACTCCCAGGTACTCCGCCCATCAACGTCCCTACAGTTCCTCGTATTCCACCCATCTCCATCCCTTCACTCCCAGGTACTCCGCCCATCAACGTCCCTACAGTTCCTCGTACTCCACCCATCACTCTCCCTTCACTCCCAGGTACTCCATCGATTACTGTCCCTTAACTTCCTGATGTTCCTCGTGTTCCACCCACTAGGTTTACTTAAAGTCACATGGTCTAGTATTATGCACCTTACCTCTTCCTTAACCTTCCCTATCCACTTTGTCTCCTTTTCTTAGTATTCCATTAACGTCTTTATCTATTCTACTATCAAAGAATAAACGTGTCGCTAGTTTGGACTGAAAAGCTTCATGGGTTTCAATTTGAATCATCATTTCTATGGTGAGAGTTTTGTTGCTCGAGATTCTTTCTAGTCTACTACTACGATAACATATGTAACTTTAAACAATATATTATAATAAACCTTCCATACGTGTGATATTAATGGGTGTTATTCTTAGCATTTCCTTTTGTTACTAATACAAACAAACATCCTTATTTGGAACCAAGGTTATAGTAGGTGGCAATGCACAAATGGTCAAATTTGTTATTTGACTTTAATTAATGATTAACATTGCTTCATACTCAATATACTTGACATAATACATGCCTAAACACATTGCAACCATGTACATTGATCCTCGCATCCATTCATTGTTGCAAATATTGAATCACGACTATCTCGCTCACCAATTCTATGGTCTCCGTATGTTGGCTTCATCATCGGTACATGAAGCCCTTACCTTTATTTAAAAAATAAGTGATCTCATTACTGGGATTAAAAATGGACCCATATGCGATATGTTTCTTGACTAGTGGGACCTACTTTCTTGTTCACGCTTAGTTAGATGCATAATACTTCTCTACACACAATTCACGAATATACAGATGAACACACTTGATATGAACCAAAAGACATCAATCACACAATATACTTCAATGAAGATGTGAAGAAAATGTTGTCAAAATTATCAAAAGATGTTTCAATTCATGCCACATTGAAGAAGAATGAAGTTTGATTGTTATAAATTTTGGGTGGGTTACAATTTAGAGTTATTGTATTTCATTTATGTATTTTAAGACTTTATTTACTATAGGTTACAATTACATAATGATTAATTATGGTCATTAAGTATGAATGTTACAACTCTTTGAATGACTTTAGTAGTTTCATTTTGAGGCTATATAAAGCCATGTATGTTGTATGTGTAAGGGACTTGAAAAAATATAGTAAAAAGAAGCATTTGTGCTCTTCTTTAGCCAATGGCTAAGTTTCTTTGAAATTCTATGTAGTTTAGGTTGCATGTAGAATCACTCAAGCTCGACATGATCAATCTTGCTTGTGGAGTGATTCGAATCTCATGGAAGTGTTCTTGCCTTGAGATATTTGATCAACAAGAATCATTCAAGCTAGACATGATCGATCTTGCTTGTGGAGTGATTCGAATCTCAAACAATGTTCTTGCCTTGAGATATTCGATCAACAAGGTAATCTGAATCTTACCCCCCTTGAGTGGTTCCTTTTCTTATCAACACCAGGCAGACTTATCTATGGGCTTGAATGAGCTCATTATGGGCTTGTTCATGCTCACACTACAGAAAACCAATAGAAAAGAAAGAAGCATGTATAATATTGTGGTGTACGCTTCCATACATAATATACTGGAGAAATAATCCATCTTTGTGAAACATACTATATGCATGAGATCTTGTATTAACAAAACATGGTTCAACGATATGATGAACATAATAGTTCCGTACTTATCATGATATAAGTTTCCTATCTCACCTACGTACATATTCATTGTATTTCATTTATGCTCATCGTACATTGTATATCATGGTGTTTCACCGGGCATAAACATGATCATATCAACATAGCTAACATGGTCAACCGTTAAGAGTACATGTATCACAAATAGATATTAAAATATTATAGCCTCAAATAATATGAAGATAAGCCACCAGATTACGTGCATTCATGCATCAATCAGTTTATCCAATCTAGCATGTTTGCGTTCCAATAGTACGTTCGGTTTTATTTTAAGTTTAAACTGATACTCGTAAACTTGCTTTAACCGAATATTTTGAGGTTTAGCTCCATTTGACCCGTGCACTTACTTGCGATAGCAACTCTACCTAGCATGTGACACGGGCGAGTGGTAATTATGCGTGAGAACCTCTTTGGTGCGTAAAAAACATGTAAGCACGTGTGAGTGGGTTTCCTTTTTGCTGTTTTGACCTCCGCTTACCTGTTTTTCGTCTCAATTTCAATACTAACTCTATTTTTACCTCAATTAGTTTCCTCCCAGAGGTTTTCAAAATTTCTAGGGACCTTTTCGGCCAGTAATCGCACTCAAAAAAGCACACGACAAACCTATAAGTAACCACACAAAATTAGGAAATAATACTTATATGATTCGATTGATAATGCATGCATGCTAGTAAAAATTAATTCTAGGGGTTGATAATTTAAGTGGACATGTTAGTGGATGAAATTTCTGGCTTGATTCTTGTATGCCTTTCTTATGTACTTTACTACTACTCGCACGTAATCATGTTATGATGGTGGATGAAATATTTATGTATCTGCGCTCCAAATGTGTAACGACCTTATAACCTATACTCTTATGCGGAATTTAACATTTAAAATGTCATCATAAAAATAAACTTCATCTTAAAGCACTACCATGGACTTATGTGTCGACACCCGTTAGGAATAGTGACCGTCACGACATCATTAGGATAAACATAATGATCATTTCCTTGCCTTGTAACGTACGCGTCCTATAATGAACATAAATTTTTCTACTTAACCTAAGGTCGCTATTATACATTTAATGCGAAACTAACTTTATTGAGCCTTATCATAATTTCAACATTAATAGCACGCTTCACTTATTGTCTTGGAAATAACAAATACAAAGAAAATAAACAAAGTAAACAATACAAACTAAAATGTCCTATACTAACCTATATAGTATTAAGGGAAATACCATTCAACTTGTACCCACCTATAGTAAAAATGGAAATGAAAATTCAATTTAAAACTACCTATACTATTTAATGGAAAATACAACTCAACATACACTAACCTATACTATTAAATGCAAATCTATCATATGCATGTGTCATGGTCTCAAGGTTGCAATGCCTTCGTGAGCCCTACATGGGCGCCCTTGCCTTTATCTGAAAAATGTAGTAGCACGAGGCTTGAGTATTTAAAAATACTCGGTGAACGATTCGTTATCTCCCCATAATGCAAGAACATGCAAATGCAATGCATGGGACCTATCATAACAGTCCATTTTTCCTACGGTACTATCGTGCAGCTTGGAACAGTGCAACATTTTTCCAATCATGGTTGGTGGCCCTATTCTTTTGTTTCCATGATCCCCTCTTTGAAAATCTAATTCTTCCTCCTCTAATACTTTGAAAGCTTTTTCAAATTTCGGCATGATCAAGCATCAAATAAGTGGAATTCCATCGAGTCGCCACATCCAAACAAATAAGTGCTTTACATTTAATTTTTTTCTTGTTCAACGCGATTTTTAAATTTTGTATCTCTTGGGGGATGATCTAACATACCTCACGGCATTGCGAACACTAGAAATGGAGTCATGCATTTCTTTAAGCCCTTCATTCACAATCAAATTAATTATGTGAGCACAACACCTCAGGTGTAATATTTCTCCATCGAAGACGAGTGAATTCCAACTTCTAAGCCTTCTCATAATATATGAAATAGCTATATCATTGGAACTTACATTATCAACTGTGATAGAGAAAACCTTATCGATTCTCCATTCCAATAAACAACTCTCAATAATCTTGCCAATAGTCTCTCCCTTGTGGTTAGCAACTTGACAAAAGTTGAGAATTATTTTATGCAAATTCCATTCTGAATCAATAAAATGTGCGGTGATTACATGTAATTAATGTTTTGCAACGAAGTACATGTGTCAGTGGTAAGACAAATCCTCTTGGAATGACTAACTAAAAAATCTTTCAACTTCTTTTTTTCTTCTAGATAGAGCTGAAATATATCTCTAGCAATGGTTACTCTTGACGGAGGGTCAAACTTAGGACATGCAATACTACAAAACAATTTGAAACCCTCATTCTCTACAAACTTAAATGATAATTCATCCATAATTATCATCTTGGCACATGCTGCTCTACATCTTGTTTGACTAAATGATAAAGTAACAATATTACTACCATCTTTTCCATCTATTGAACGTTGAAAACTTAGAGTGGTTTGTCCTTTGTCCTCCAACTCATATGTGTACTTTCTACACTGATTTTTTAAGTGCTTCCATAACTTGCTAATTCCACAAGAATTAGTATCACAAGCATACTCCTTAGAACAATAGTTGCACTTGCACCTCTTATTATTGTTCTCTAATCTTGTAAAGTGATCCCACACGGTCGATTTACTGGGTTTCTTCTTCTTGAATTCAGATTGGGTAGCCAATGGTGGTTTCGATGCATTATAATTACTAGAGTTACTTGCACATATTGTTGCACTATTGTTTTCCATCTATAAAAAGTAAAATAGAACTATTATGATTCAAACATTTAACTCAATATGAACAATAATCATAGAATGCATCAAGGTTAAAATATACAATCAGTTTTTGCAAGTGGTTATAACAAAAAGAGAAAAAGCTTACCTGTTATAGCGGAGATTAAAGAGAGAAAGACGGCGCGCGAGAAAGAAACAAGACAAAGAAACGAGAGAATGCTATTGAGATCAAATTCCTTGTGGAGACTAAGTATCGAGACAGATTTGTATTTTGTTGGGTGTACACCCCTATATATATATATCATTCATTCATGTATCATCTCTCTCATATCTTTTTGTAAATACTTCATAGTCATACGGTTCTATATGCAAATCCTAGTCATATTGTTTCCTAAACTTGTCACAATCTTATTATTCTTATGTATATCATAGTTGTATCGTTTCATGAACATATATTAATTAATCATATCATTTCCCAAACGTATCCTAGCCATATCATTTCATGAACGCATCCTGCTCACATCGTTTCATGATTCCAGATTCTTGATTT